GGTAGGCTTCCCTGAAGAAATGAGTTTTCAAAGATCGCCTAAAGGCAAACAGCGTGGGGGCTGACCGGACATGCTGTGGTAAGAGTTCCAGAGGATGGGAGAGGCTCTGGAAAAGTCCTGGAGGTGAGCGTGGGAGGAGGTGATGAGGGAGCTAGAGAGGAAGATATCATGGGAGGAGCGGAGTGGGCGATTTGGGCGGTATCTGTGGATGAGGTTGGTGATGTAGCTAGGGGCAGTGTTGTGGATGGCTTTGTAAGCTGTGGTTAGTATTTAGAATTTTATACGTTGGGTTAGTCAAAGCCAGTGCAGGGATTGGCAGAGAGGGGCAGCAGTCGCTGATCGGTTGGTAAGGTGTATGAGTCTAGCAGCAGCATTCATAATAGACTGAGGGGGGGATAGCCTGTGTAACGGTAGACCAGTGAGTAGGGAGTTGCAATAATTGAGGCGTGATATGACCAAGGCGTGGATAAGTTGTTTTGTGGTGTCATTGGTCAGGAAGGGGTGGATTTTGGAAATGTTCTGGAGGTTTGAGGTGGCAGGATTTAGCCAGTGAGTGGATGTGGGGCCCAAAGGAGAGGTCAGAGTCTAGGATTACGCCTAGCACCCTGGCATGAGGGGAAGGACCAATGGTTGTGCTGTTGATCTTAATGGTAAAGTCATGAATGGGGGAGGAGGAAATATTACAAGCTCAGTTTTTGAAAGATTGAGTGTAAGGTAATGATGTGACATCCATGCTGATATGTCGCTTAGTAGATTTGTAATACGTGAGGAGGTTGAGGGGGTGGGCTGGGGAGTGGAGAGATAGATCTGGGTGTCATCAGCATAGAGGTGGTATTGGAAGCCAATCAGTTGGCCCAGGGAGGAGGTATAGAGAGAGAAAAGGAGGGGCCCAAGGACAGAACCTTGGGGTACCCCAACAGAAAGAGGAAGCGGAGCGGAGGAGGAGGAGTTGTATGTGACACTGAAAGTGCGCTGAGAAAGGTAAGAGGAGAACCAGGAGAGAGCAGAGTCACGGAGGCCGATAGAGTGGAGTTTACTGCGGAGGAATGGGTGGTCAACTGTGTCAAAGACAGCGGAAAGGTCAAGGAGTATGAGTATGGAGTAATGGACGTTGGTTTTAGCAGTTACTTGGTCATTATTGAGTTTTAGTAGGGAAGTTTCTGTGGAATTTTTTGGGCTGAAGTCAGGCTGTCGGGGATCAAGAAGTTTGTTGTTGGTGAGGTAGCAGTTCAGTTATAAAGTTGTAAACAAGGCGCTCGAGAAGCTTGAATGCAAACGGGGGCAGGGAGATGGGTCTTAAGTTATTCAAACAGGTGGGGTCCAGCGAGAGTTTTTTGAGGAGGCTACATTTAAAAATGGAGCGAGGAGTTATAAATAAAAAAAACTATAGTGGATTATGTCAGAAACACAAAGCAGAAAAATTACAGGGACACACTGCACATCTTGTAAGTCTCAGTAGTAGGCCACATTTACAAATGAGGGAGAGGGCATTTTTGATCAAGAAATAAAAATTAGTGGGTTAAGTAAAAGACATGAGACAGAAACATAACAGGGACATATTGCAAGTCATGTAGGCACTTTTTAGTAGGCCAAATTTGGAGAGAGAGACAAGGAATTTGTACTGAGAAATAAAATGTACAGTGGATTATGTCAGAGACCCAAAGAAGAAATATTACAGAGAGACGCTGCAGATGATGTAAGACTATGTAGCAGGCTGCATTTAAAGAGGGAGATACAAGGCATTTTTGTCCAGAAATAAAATATTACAGTGCATTATGTCAGAAACACTAGGCAAAAATATTGCAGAGACATGCTGTACATCATGAGTCTTCTTAGTAGGCCACACTTGAAAAGGAAGAGACAAGGTAATTATTTTTTCTAAACATAAAAAATACAGGCGACTATGCCAGAGACACAAAGCAAACATATCACTGGGAGATTGTACACCACATAAGCTTTTCTAGTAGGCTGCATTTTAAAAGGGAGTGACACTACACCATTTTTTTTTTATCAGAAATAAAAATTATAGGGGATTATGTCAGAGACAATCGACAGAAATATGACACAGACATGCTGCATATCATGTAAGCCTTTTTAGTAGGTCACATTTGAAGAAAAAAACATGAGGTAAGTTAAAAAAATGTTAGAGGCAGTTCTCCCATGGGTAAGAGACCAAGCTGAACCCATCTTTTATTAAGAGGAGCTTACTATACGCTGAGGTAGTATGTGTACAGGTGTAATTTTGTGTAGTCCTCGATGTGTCTGATGAGTATTCAACCTAACCAGCACCTGCAAACATTGCAGCCAATCGGCTGGGATAACAGATTAGGGCATTTGAACAGTATTCATTTTATTTGGTTTTTGGTCTACTAAATAAATCTCTTAATTTGCATATTGGAAATGACAGAACAAATGTGTTTTTTGCAGGCCAAAAATCCACATTTATTAAGTGTATATATTTCACAGGGAAATGAAAAAAATAATTTGATAACTCCATAGATATTATTTAAGCTATTTAGTTAGGTTGCATTTTGAAACAGGAGGAACCACAGTTAGCTTTTTTTCTCCAAATCAACTTTAGAGTCTATTTTTGCCCTGCGATGGGCTTTTCACGCAGAACATTTTTATTTTTCCTTTCATATGGCATATGTCCAGGTTTCTATTTTAGCTGTCAATTTGCTATCTCCATTAGAACCACACATGGTGGGGTCAATCCTCCCATTTTATGGGGGTCCCACGCTTCTGATGTGAAGGGGGGCTCTAATGTGATGGGAGGCTTCTGATGTGTTGGGGGCCCTTTGATGTAATGAGTAGCCTCTGATGTGATGGGGAGGACTTCTGATGTGATCGGGGTTTCTGATATGATAGGCATTTGATGTGAAGGGGAAACTCTGATATGATGGAGGACCTCTGATGTGATGTGGGACTTCGGATGTGATGGGAAGACTCTGATGTTTTGGAGGGACCTCTGATGTGACTGAGAAACCTCTGATATGATGGAGGAACCTCTGATGTGAAGGGGAACCTCTGATGTCAAGGAGGACCTCTGATGTGATGGGGGACCTCTTATGTGATGAAGGGCCGCTGATGTAATGGAGCATCTCTGATGTGAAGGGGTGCCTCTAATGTAAAGGGGGTCCTCTGATGCGATGGAGGACTTCTGAAGTCATGGGAGGACTCTAACTTGATTGGGACTTCTCATGTGATGGAAGAACCTCTGATGTAATGGGGAACCTTTGATGTGAAGGGGGGAACTCTGATGGTAAATTAATGTTGTCCCTGACTATACTTTTAATGCGCATCACAACTGACCAAAGGCTGCTCACCAACAAAGTGTGGTGGCCTTCTTTCTTTTGCCAATGTGCTGAAGTCACCATACACACCTTTGTAGATAAATGGTGGCACGGCAGGACAGGGTGCAGCCCAGAACTGTATCCTTTTCGGGTCTCCAACATCCTTAAAGCCTCAAAGTGCATATTCTGAAACTTCTACACGCATGTTGTGCTAACCTGACTGGGGAAGGGCCTCGGCCTCCTCCATCAGAACGTCGTAGTCTTCTACATATGAGTAGGTAGCAGGGGCGGACTGACCATTTAGAAACTCGGGCACTGCCTGAGGGCCCAGGGTCATTAGGGGGCCCCATGAGATGCCCCTGGTACCTTTTTCATAGGCTTTTTTGAGTTTGGGCAAGGACACAGGGGCCCCATGATCCCCTATTGCCCGGGGGCCCCATGAGTTGTCAGTCCGCCCCTGGTAGGTAGTTGTGTTTCCTGCCTCCATTCACACCTGTGCGTTCCAGGAAAAGTTCCCAGAATTCGCAAACCACGCATATCATGCTTGATGTGCAATTGACAGTTACCGATACCCCAAAACGCGGGCAGCCAATGCGCGTTTTTGCTCGCAGCCATAGGAAGGTAAGAAAGTGTGAAGTTCAATGGGGGCGGGACAGGGGCGGACTGACAACTCATGGGGCCACTGGGCAATAGGGGACCATGGGGCCCGTGTCCTTGCCCACACTCAAGCCAAACCCAAAAAAGCCTATGAAAAGGTACAAGGGGCATTTCATGGGGCCCCCTTCTGACCCCGGGCCCTCGGGCATTGTGCCTGAGTTCCCAAATGGTCAGTCCGCCCCTGGGGCGGGATGTTTTTTTCGCACATTTGTTGCGCATTCAAGTAAATGGTCTGCCCTATGAGTTACGCAAAAAAAGTGTGAAGAACGCATTCGCACGATGCGTAGATGCAAACAGGGACGTATTGTAACACATGGTTAATTTTATTGTATACGTGCGCAAAAACGTGTGAAGAGCGCACATTGGCATTAAGTGCAGATGTGAATGGGGGGCTATCTTAACGTAGATTTGGATTTTATTGTAAATTATGTAATTTTTTTTATCTTCCACCATTTTGTTTTACCACATGATGTTCAATTTCACCTCAAACACAACAAAAAGACACCCTTCAGGCCTACACTAGCCCCTTCCCGCCTCTCTATGGCTCCCTGACCTAAAATAGGGCGCGAAAGCGTCGAACGAAAAAAAAAACACAAAGCCGTGACGCCCGACTGAGACGACGACTGTTCCCGCCCCCTTCCTCACTCCTCACGGACAGCTCCTGCGGCCAATGGCAATTAACTGCGCTCGCACTCGCAGCCAGTGACCGCCGCGGAACCTGGAACCTCCCGCAGAGGTCTTGACTGACGCTCTTCCAGGCCAATGGCTGTGCGGGCGGGGCAGTCGAGCGCCAATGGCAGGGCGGAAGGGGCGTCGCCGTTTCTGAGGGGATGCCTGTGCCGTGTAATGGAGTCTCAGTCGGTGAGCGGCCATTGAGGGAGAAGGGAGCTCTGTATTGAAGGGGGTCGTTCGGCGGGGACTGGTCGGTGCAGGACGCCTCGTCGCCTTTATCTGCGCTTCTACCGCCGTCTTTGGTTCGGTGAGGCCCGTCTTGAGCCCGTTGGGTGTGCAGCTGTCCGGTGTGACCCCTCGGAAGGTTGGCCCGGGAAGATGGAGATGAAGAAGCGCATCGCCCTGGAGCTGAGGAACAGATCCCCGGCAGAGGTGAGAGAATTCTTCCTACCGCCATCCGTCACACCTCCTCCGTGTACCGGGAGGAAGGGGGGGGCACTATCCGGGAGGGCCGGGACCTCATGTCCTCTCCGGTCTCCGAGTGAGAGAGGGAAGAGTTCATCTCCGAGCACGAGGAGGAAACTTTCCGTGTGGAGGAGGGGCCCCGCCGAGCAGGGGCCACACACAGCCCGCCGGGGGGCCAATTCTGGGGGGGGATAATACTAAATATATATACTAGGGTGGGGGGAGGGGGCAACAAATATACGAGGGGGGATAATATACTGGAGGTGGGGCAGGGGGTGGCAATAATATACTGGGGGGGGGGGTGATATATACTGGAGGTGGGGGGAGGGGTTAATAATAAATATACTGGGGGAGGGGACAGGGTGGCAATAAATATACGGGGGGGGTTTAATAAATGGGGGGGGAGGGGGTAACAATAAATATACTGGGGAATAATAGATGTGGGGGGAGAGGTAATATGGGGGGGGGATCCACCTTGTTCATGGAGATGTACACAACACCCCAATCATCACATCACTGTATATACTACAGACCTCCCCTCCCCCACCTCCATCTCTATCATATATACACGGCTATGTGTGGGGAGCACTGAGGGCTCTGTGTACTGGATGTACTGAAGTGTATGCGCTGTATAGGTGCGGGGGGGGGGGGGGAAGGGTGCACCGTATAGGTGAAAGGGGGGGGGTATAGGTGTGGGAGGGGAGGGTGCACCGTATAGGTGAAAGGGGGGGGGGGTATATAGGTGTGGGAGGGGAGGGTGCACCGTATAGGTGAAAGGGGGGGGGGGTATAGGTGTGGGAGGGGAGGGTGCACCGTATAGGTGAAAGGGGGGGGGGGTATAGGTGTGGGAGGGGAGGGTGCACCGTATAGGTGAAAGGGGGGGGGGTATAGGTGTGGGAGGGGAGGGTGCACCGTATAGGTGAAAGGGGGGGGGGTATAGGTGTGGGAGGGGAGGGGTGCACCGTATAGGTGAAAGGGGGGGGGGTATAGGTGTGGGAGGGGAGGGGTGCACCGTATAGGTGAAAGGGGGGGGGGGGGTATAGGTGTGGGAGGGGAGGGTGCACCGTATAGGTGAAAGGGGGGGGGTATAGGTGCGGGAGGGGAGGGTGCACCGTATAGGTGAAAGGGGGGGGGGGGGTATAGGTGTGGGAGGGGGGGTGCACCGTATAGGTGAAAGGGGGGGGGGGTATAGGTGCGGGAGGGGGGGAGGGTGGGGGGGGTTGGTATAGGTGCGGGAGGGGAGGGGTGCGCGTTATAGGTGTGGGGGGGGGGTGGTATAGGTGTGGGGGGGGTATAGGTGCGGGAGGGTGCGCCGTATAGGTGAAAGGGGGGGGGGTATAGGTGCGGGAGGGGAGGGTGCGCCGTATAGGTGTGTGGGGGGAGGGTGCGCTGTATAGGTGCGGGGGGGGGTGGTATAGGTGCGGGAGGGGAGGGTGCGCTGTATAGGTGCGGGGGAGGGGGGTGCGCTGTATAGGTGCGGGGGGGGGGTGGTATAGGTGTGGGAGGGGAGGGTGCGCTGTATAGGTGCGGGAGGGGAGGGTGCGCTGTATAGGTGTGGGAGGGGAGGGTGCGCTGTATAGGTGTGGGGGGGGGTATAGGTGTGGGAGGGGAGGGTGCGCTGTATAGGTGTGGGAGAGGAGGGTCCGCTCTGTATAGGTGTGGGGGGGGTGGTATAGGTGCGGGAGGGGAGGGTGCGCTGTATTTGTGGGGGGGGGGGGGTGTATAGATGTTGGAGGGAAGGGGGGTGTATAAGTGTGGGAGGGGGGGGTGTATAGGTGTGGGAGGGGTGCGCTGTATGGTGGGTGTATAGGTGCGGGGGGGGGGTATGTGCTGTATAGGTAGGGGGGGTGCGTGCGCTGTATGGGTGTGGGGGGGAGGGGGTGCAGTATGTAAGTTGTGTGCAGTGTTTATATACTCCCACTGTACCTCTGTAATATAAACACTGTGCACACATTTTTACCTCAAACTACACATATTGTACATATATTATACAGTGAGTGGATGTACAGTATGATGTATATTATATGTATGAGGGTTTGTGTTCTGTAGGTACAGTATGAGGGTTTGTGTTCTGTAGGTACAGTATGAGGGTTTGTATTCTGTAGGTACAGTATGAGGGTTTGTATTCTGTAGGTACAGTATGAGGGTTTGTATTCTGTAGGTACAGTATGAGGGTTTGTGTTCTGTAGGTACAGTATGAGGGTTTGTATTCTGTAGGTACAGTATGAGGGTTTGTGTTCTGTAGGTACAGTATGAGGGTTTGTATTCTGTAGGTACAGTATGAGGGTTTGTGTTCTGTAGGTACAGTATGAGGGTTTGTGTATATTCTGCTCGGTTCACACTGCTGCGACCTGATTCTGTTGTGACTTTCAGTGTGATTATGTGATGCTACCTGGATGTTACGGGGGGGGGTCTGCATATTCTATGGGGGCTGATCACGCTGTAAACTGCACCAGAGTAGTACAGGAACAAATATGATTTCTGTTGTCATGAGATTGTGACTGGAGTGACATGTGAAGTCAGTTGTGTGGACTAGGCCTTGTATAGGCACGTTGGGGGTTTGTACATGTATTGTATGAGTACACTGTTACTGTGTAGTGGAGTATATCCTTACATAACATGCACACGGTGTGATATGCTGCCCTTCTTCGTTAATTGGACCTCAAATGTGGCAAAGAGACAAGTTGGTTTTTGTTTTTTTTTTTTTTTTTTGTTTTTTTTTTACACAACAAAAAGTGCATGATCTACTTTGCTGCACGTAGGGCAGCTCATTGAAATGAATGGGGAGCCCTATGCATGTAGTTGAAAAATGTACATATGTGTGATAGCGTGTGTTGCCATTGTGTAAACGAGTCCTGAGTGTTGGTGTGTATTCTAATCTGTGTGAAATGTATACATTTTTGTTACATCAACTACCTTTTTAACAGATACATAGTTTGTTTTACTTTTCAATATGAAGGGATACCGTGCAGGGACACAAGAAATCAGGAGGAGAGGGTTGGCAATCCATACGGAATGGTGTTCACCGGAAGTAAACTTTGGGGGGCGGTGGGTGTGCATGTCTTGGAAATGATGCCAAGGTTCAGCTTTGGACAACACCATGCCACTGATTTAAACCCCAGAAAAAAGCTCAAGTGTGTGTATACACGCTTACTATTGTGCAGGTTGTATGATGTAAATGACACGTATGATGCTAGTAAATGCAAGGAGGTGTGTGAACAGTAAGCCCCAGCAGTCAGGATTTCACTGGAGCAGTGAGACGGCTTCTGGTCACTGCACTGTACACTTGGAGCTTCTGATAAATGTAAAGTGGTAACAAGTCACCACTGTATAAAGTGTCATCCACTTTTGCTCAGGAGGACCTTCGTTCCCCGTATGTTTTCTTTTACGGATTCCCCTCTTACCTAGTCCACTGGGTTGTCCTAAAAAAAACAAAAAAACTAAACACACACCCTCAGTAAATCCTACGCTGTGGTGTATTCCACTGCTGTATGCATGGTGCTGAGCTGCCCTTATGTCATCAGGGGCCTGCTGTCTCTTCTGGTTCTTGCAGCTGGCCCCTGAATGGCACATGCTTGTTGCAAGGTCCCCAGGGATGCGTAAAATGAATATCCCAGGAGGCTACAAGCAGATGGCGGTGTCATTCTCACCTAGGCATAGAAGGCGGAAGCTTCCGATTTTTTTTAATTTTTTTTATTTTTTAACCACTTGCCCTTCTGAGGATTCCCCTTCCTTCCTGACCAGGCCATGTTTTGTGTTCCGGCTCTGTGTTACTTTAACTGACAATTGTGCGGTCATGCAATGCTGCACTCAAATTAAATTTACGTCCTCTCTTCCCCACGAATAGCGCTTTCTTTCGGTGGTATTTGATCACCTGTGCATTTTTGTTTTTTGTTACTGTTTTTTTTTTTTTTTTTTTTTTTTTTTTTTTTTTTTGCGCTATAAAATAAAAAATTTTGAGAAACAATATTTTTGACTTTTTGCTATTGAAACATGTTCAGTAAAAAAAAAAAGTTTAAAAACAAAATTTTGTCAAGTTTAGGCCTAAATGTATTCTGCGACATGTCTTTGTTAAAAAAAAAATCCCAATATGTGTAAATTAATTGGTTTATGTAAAAGTTTAGTGTTTATAAATGGATAGATAGATAGATAGATATCTATGTGTGTGTATATATATATATATATATATATATATATATATATGTGTGTATGGCTTTTTTAAAAAAAAAAATTTTTTATAAGTAATGACAGCGATCAGCGACTTATATCGGGACTGCGGCGGGCATTCTGACACTGGGGGGGAACTGACTTGGTGTCACTGACATCCCCAGTGACACCAATACAGTGATCAGTGCTAATAAAAAGCACTGATCAATGTAGTAATGGTACTGGGCAGGAAGGGGTTAACGTGGGGGAATCAAAGGGTTAACTGTGTGCTGTTTTTCTACAAGCAGTGTCTGTGCTTCACTGTAAGCACACTGCTTTGCATGGCAATGCAGCGTGCAGGAGCTGACAGGGGGAACGGTTTTGTCTACTGACAGGGGGAACGGTTTTGTCTACTGACAGGGGGAGCGGTTTTGTCTCCTGACAGGGGGAGCGGTTTTGTCTCCTGACAGGGGGAGCGGTTTTGTCTCCTGACAGGGGGAGCGGTTTTGTCTCCTGACAGGGGGAGCGGTTTTGTCTCCTGACAGGGGGAGCGGTTTTGTCTCCTGACAGGGGGGAGCGGTTTTGTCTCCTGACAGGGGGAGCGGCTTTGTCTCCTGACAGGGGGAGCGGCTTTGTCTCCTGACAGGGGGAGCGGCTTTGTCTCCTGACAGGGGGAGCGGCTTTGTCTCCTGACAGGGGGGAGCGGCTTTGTCTCCTGACAGGGGGAGCGGCTTTGTCTCCTGACAGGGGGAGCGGCTTTGTCTACTGACAGGGGGAGCGGCTTTGTCTACTGACAGGGGGAGCGGCTTTGTCTACTGACA